GAGCTCCCCACGACGATACACTTGGTCTTATAAACTTCTTTTAAAGTAACTCTTCCAATTGCTTCTTTAATTCTGACAATTCAAATGCAGACATCCTGTATGGTGCCATGGAAACAGGTCTGGTACCAAGTACAAGATCAATAGCAAATTAAACTTCTCTCTGGCGGTACATCAGGAATTTCATCAGGGAAAACTTCAGGAAATTCACACACCACTAGCAATTCCTCAATTACAACTTGATTCTCGACAGATAGCGACACCATCAATGAGAACATTTGAGCCTTTTCTTGCATCAACTTCCTCAACTGTCTAACAGACAACTGACCAGCTTCCTCTTCTTCAGGAGTAGAAAACCTCACCGACTTGTCATAATAGTTAATATGAACATAGTTATGCTCTAACTAGGTCATACCTAAGATCACATCCAACCCACTTAAAGGAAAATAAACCAAATCAACAACAAAGTCTTTGTCGAAGATCGACAGAGGACACTTTAAACACACAAGAGAAGTAGTCATTGATCCCTTGGATGGAGTATCGGCGACCATCTCTTCATTCATAGGAGACAACATAAGACTCAATCTTTCAACACAATCAGCAACAATAAAGAAATGAGTAGCACCGATATCAATAATAGTAATTAAAGGAGTACTATTAATGAAACATGTACCTCTAATGAGTCTGTCCTCATTAGCCATCTGATTTTCAGCCAAAGCGAACACATTTCCACTGGTTTGCGCCTTCTTCGGCTTCTGACACTGACTACCAATGTGCTCTTCTTCACCATAATTGAAGCAAATCATCTCCTTATTCCTGTACTCAGATACAACATGTCCAGTCTTACCACAACGCAAACACCTCTTCACCTTAGCAGTACACACGTTGCTCTTATGACCAGATTTTCCACATTGAAACAAACCACACCAGCAGGAGCATCTCCCCCACTAGTCCTCTAGCCCTGAGCAACTTTGTATTTACCTTTACCAGCTGGGGAATCATACGACTTACCACGATTCTATTGGTGCTTACCCCTCTTCTCAATGATAATCTTATAATGAACATTATTATCTTCTTCATAGATCCTACAACTATCAATCAAATCAGCAAAGACACGAATCTTCTAGTATCCAACTACCTTCTTGATCTCCGGGCGCAACCCGTTCTCAAACTTGATGCACTTTGAAAACTCAGCATTTGCCTCGCTATAGTGCAAATAAAACATAGCCAACTCTGCAAACTTTGCAGCATATTCAATAACCAACATACTCCCTTGCTTCAGCTCAAGAAACTCAATTTCCTTCTTACCACGAACATATTCATAGAAATACTTCCTAAAAATTCCCTACGAAACACAACCCAAGTGACATTTTCACCTGCAGCTTCCAACCTCTGACATGTCTCTAGCCACCAGTCATCAGCTTTGACTGCTAGCATATGAGTACCATAAAGAACCTTCTGTGCTAGAGTGCAGTCCATCACACAGAAGATTCTCTCAATCTCTTTCAACCAATCCAACGCTACATCAGGATCATACTTACCCTTGAAGGTAGGCGGATTCTCCCTCTGGAAAGTCTCCAAATTACGATATCCAACATTCCTATCAACATTTGGCTGATTCTCCATAGCATGCGGCATTGCTTATAAAGCAGCAACAAGTGCAACATTATTTCTTCCAGCCATCTCAACTTATCACTATAACATAAACAACGGTTAGAACTCAAGTTAATAATACTCGATTGTTAAACAAAACTACGACTTAACAACTTGGTTAGACGAGCCAACTTACTCTGATACCAACTTGTAACACCCCAATTCTACCCGATAATTATTATATAAATCAGAGTTATAAAATTCCGACAACCAAATCGGGATGCTACAATTACAACTTAAAACAATGACATTAATTACAAATACATAACACATTAAACTTGGGTGAACTAACAACAACATAAATTAATCTTTTAAAACCAACAACTTTCATAACCACGCAGCAGAATCAAATATTCAACTTAAAGAATATAACATCTTTATCCAACTAAAGCAACTTCAAATAACAAGTATTTAACGAGCAACAATTTAAGGTTCAAATCAACTGAAATAATAATAACAATAAAACAACAAGTGTTCATCCCCCCGAGTGTTACGTATCAGAGCAATGACACCGACTCGAACTACTGAAGGTAAACCGCCTTCACTCAGGATTACATGCACGTTACCAACATCGGGGTAACATTCAAACATAAGAGGTGAGATATCAAACAATATAATAGAACGTATGATAAATAAAACATTAGAATAAGTTCATACATATTCACCACTTCTCTGATTTCAACAACATAAGCATAATCAAATCAACCACACAACGACTCGGAATGCAACACAAAATGCAACTTGTCTTTATGTAAATGCATGTGGTACCAATGGAGAAGAACTCCCAACTTAAAAATCTGCCAATAAATAGAGGCATCAATAAGGCATAAGCCTTCAACTTAATATTTACCAATCCAGACCAACTTAACGAGCATCAACTTCAACTTGATATGCGATGTATGCGACACAACATGATTGTAGCAACAACAACAACAAACAATAACTCAACATAAATCAATATTGGCCATAAGCCTACAACATCAACAACAATTCAACATCATCATAACTCAACTTTGGCCATAAGCCTACCATATAATATCTGCCAAATTAGAGGCATCTCAACATAATTCATCAACCTGTAAATTCTCAATTAAGCACGACTACACAACGCACTGGTAACGACCAAACAACATATACGGGCAATAAGGATAGGATGAACTATGCATCCCTCGACATGCTCGGAAATAAGATAGAATAACCACTAACTCATGCTCCTCGACACAAGAAGAAACAAAGAAGAATAACAACTAACTTATGTTCCTCAACACAACCTATAACTTCGTTCTGCTCGACAATAATACTGTGCTCCTCGGCACGCCTCACAGCCTAATGCCGCTCGACATCCAACATATATATTCTCCGACACACTTCGCAGCCTAAATGCCGCTCGACACCTAGCATTTCGGTATCCTCCTCGACCACTAATTCGGCCAACAACACAAAACAACACAGCGTCATAACGACCACATCAATATCATTCATAACTTTCGACCAACTGCTCGGAATACCACAGTAACAGACAACTATATTTCCTATCAACAGATTCGTTTATTATATAAGACAGTCACGCATAAATCTTCCTAACATGACCACAACAACAATCCCTAATTTCCTGCCAACTGCTCGAAATACCACAACATCATAACGACCACACCACCCAATGATAAACTACACTGACCTAATCATCGATTCTACCAGCCAATCATATAAACAACTCAAAATGCCCACAACACTACTAACAAGCAACTTCAACAACAAGTTCACTAATCATGCAAGACAGTCATATGGTAACTCCCTAAACGACCACAACATGAGGAACCAGGCAACTTCAAAAACCGATCAAGAAACATCAACACATAACAGTCATACAAACGACCAATTCCCACATGATACACATCATAATTCCCATTATAAGGTTAGAACCCCACCCTTACCTGGATTGAAGTTCGTTCAACCAAAGCTCCGACCGAAATCCTTGCTTTGCTCTGCTCGACACCGGACAACTTGCTCCTCTCTCCACGCAGCTGTTTCGGTCACGCTCAAGACTCCTTGTCCTCCAAAAACCAAATCCTTGTGTCAGCTTAACCTTATATCATCAATTCTATTGAGCCTAACTTACACACCCCACTTTACCACTTCCAGCCAATAAAATAAGCCCAACACCATTATTCTATTAAATCCAACATTATTATTATTAATCAACTAATTAATTAATTAATAATAATCTAACAACTTATACCAATAATTCTCAACATCTCACAACTTCAACAAATAATCCAAAAATAATTTAATTAAATAATTAATTAAATTAACGGGCATTACATCAAGTATCATGGTTTCCTTTTTTGGGTTAACCTAATCGATTAGGTAGACACTCTAATCGATTAGGAAGCGTTAAAGCCCATGGGTTGAGGTCTTTTGAGCCAATTTTTTCTATATAAAGAAGGTTTTTCCGCGCTTCTCAACACACAAATTTTAGGAGTTATCAACTCTTTATTCACTCTAGTTCTTATTCTTTTATAAGTTTTATTAATTGATAAATGCCCTGATGATGAAAGAGTGAAAAACTTCATTTAATAGTTGTAGTGTCTTTCTATTGTGTTGAAAGTGTATATTCAAGAGCATAGTTCTCTTGTGATTTGTGATAAATTTGAAGGTTGCAAGCTAAATCTATAATAAGCTTGGTTTAAAGTTGTTGGGCTGACCACATGTAAATCCTCAAGGTATTTGTGTAAGGTTGTTGGGCTGATCATGAGTAAAACCTCAAGTTTGATTTATTTATTTAAGGTTGTTGGACTGATCATTTGCAAAACCTTAGGTTGATTTTAATGAAAATATCAAGAAGAAACTCTTGGGATTGGAGTATCCCGCTTTGGTAAAGGTTCCATCAGAATAATCTCGAGAATGATCTTTCTTCTTATCCCTTTATATTCATGTCTTCTATATTTCAATTTGTTATTTATCTTTTCCGTTATTTATTCTCTGTTAATCTATGCTTCTAATATAAATCGTTTTAAACCAATAATTTTTGTGATATTTTTAAAACTCGAATATCACAATTCACCTCACTTTCATGTTTGAAATCACTTGTTCAACACAAATTACTTCTATTGCGATAAACATAAGCACATTATCACAATTTGTACCAAAAATGAATATTTGACTCGTCGCATTAAGGATATGTTTGGAGGATTTGTGGTATGAGATTGAATGCAATAAAATAAAGTGGTAAGGAGAAAAATAAAAGCTTTTCCCCCCGCACCAAAACCCCAACATCTAAACCCAAACCCATTGCGAAGGAGTAGCACCGTGGCATCACCAACGATCACCAACTTCACTCACTCGCGATAATGGCAATGGACGATTCACATTCATCTCTGTTCAACCTAGGTATTCTCGACACTCTCACCCAAGACGAACTTCACGAAATCCTCGACAGCTACGACGCCTTCTGCAACGCCACACAATCTCTTCTCGGCGGCGCCGGCGACCTCTCATACGGTGCTCAATTTGTTTCCCATGTTCACACCCTATGCAAACACGGCCTCGAATCACTAGTTCGCGACCACTTTCTCAGAGTATTAGAGGTGCCCAACAAAAATATTTCATTACTAGAATTACAAAGTTCCAATTTTTATTAAGTATAGATAGATCCCTTTGGTTTCAGGAAACTTTTGAGCGAAATGGGGCGTCGAGGTTTTGGCGGCACTTTGTTCCGTATGCTGATTTTGTTGATTTGGACAAGCATGGTGATATCAATGTGAGAATTTGTGAACCTAACTTTTCATTGTTTTGGTTGTGGATTTGTACTTGTTACTGTACTTGATTATTTTTGTTTTTCCGATGAAATGAAATAGATTGATGAGGATGAGATTGAAAGTGTGTTGTATAATGCTTTGGAAGAAATCTCTTTGGAGAAACAGTATCAGGAGAAGTGTCTGTTAATATTGGTCCATGCTTTGCAATCTTTCAAGGATCAAATGTCAGAGGAAAAGCATAGTTTTGAAGCAGAAAGAAATTACCTTACCTCTAAGTATCAATGGATAGTCTCTTCCGTGCTTATGGCTACACTTCCTCGCGTTTTCCCTGGTTTGTAAGCATTTTATTATTTTTCTTGTTTATATGTAATGAGGGTTTAGGGTTTAGGATCTAAAGTTTAGCGTTGGAAGTGTGGTAAGACTAGAAATGATAGGATTAGATATGACAATATTAGAGAGAGTGTTGGGGTAGCACCTAGAGCTATAATAGAAAAGATGGTGAAAAATAGACTTAGGTGGTTTGAGCATGTAGAGAGAAAACCTGTAGATTCTATAGTAAGGAGAGTAGATCAGATGGAGAAAAGTCAAACAACTAGAAGTATAGGAAGACCTAGAAAAACTATAAGAGAAGTTATTAAGAAAAATCTTGTGATGAACGATTTGGATAGAAGCATTATGGCGAAAAATGATCCATGTAGGCAACCCCACTTAGTGGGATAAGGCTTGGTTGTTGTTGTATGCAATGAGGGTTGCCATTTCATACTATAAATAAATTTATTGTTTTCAATTTTGATTATAGAATGTTGTGAACAATGCTCTTGTTTTCTGCCACATGCCTAATTTTACATCGAAATTTGTTGTCTTTAGGTCTAATATACCAATGATATAGGTCAGTACTTTGTGAAATGGTTTCTTTGATCTTCAAAGAGCACTCTAGTTGCTTGAAAGTTTTGCTTATTAGAAGTATAGTTAACTGGCCTTCTTGTCATCACTGATTCTTTTTGATGATTTTTATGTGCATAACACTTTATTTTTCTGATTGGCCATTCTATTTTTTCTCTCTCTTGTTTGCTGCGATTAGTTATATTGCATTGGTATTTTAAAAGAAGGCTGGAGGAATTAAGTACAATCATGGACGGAGATTTCACTGATGATGTATCTCAAAATAAGGATGGCATGGATTTAGATGAAAAAGGAAAAATATGCAACGAGGATGGTGAGATGGATGTTGATGAGTGTTATAGCAACCGTCGGTTCTCAGAAAATAGTAGACTGGTGAAGAACATTGGAAAAGTTGTTCTTGATCTCAGAAGCCTTGGATTTACTTCCATGGCCGAAGATGCTTATGCTTCTGCAATATTTTTACTACTAAAAGTGAGCACATGTTTATGTAATTCAAAATCTAGATCTTCCAGTTTTCTTCGGTCTTATTTACGTTTTTGCCAATTTTGGTTTCTTTTTTATGTTGCACTTATCATGTGTATATCTGTCTGAGTATAATCTTTGGGTGGATCATTCGTCTGAATTACAGGCTAAAGTATATAATGTAGCTGGAGATGATTTTAGGAGTTCTATCTTACAATCTATTCAAAGCTGGATACAGGTTTGTAGTGTTTATATTTTGTGTATCTATTAACCTTGTGTGCACACCTATGTTAGCTTGTATAGATAAACAAATGTTTTCATGATTCTAACATGCGATACCTCTAAAATCTGTCAGGCTGTTCCTCTCCAGTTTCTCCATGCCCTTCTTGTCTATCTTGGTGACTCTGTTAGTTACGAAAGTACTTCATCAGGTCTCAAATCACCTTTAGCGCCACAACCATCATCATTTTGTCCTGGAATTGATACTCCCTCTGAAAGTCTTGTCAGATGGAAGTTGCGGCTGGAATATTTTGCTTATGAAACACTACAAGATTTAAGGATAGCCAAATTATTTGAGATAATTGTTGATTATCCCGAGAGGTAGTTTGTTAGTTGTAATTCCATGTTTTCCTTCTGGGTTTTCTGTTTGAAAATTAATTAATTATGTCTTTTTCTCTCTGATGATCTTGAAGCTCTCCTGCAATTGAAGACTTGAAACTTTGTCTGGAATACACTGGACAACATTCAAAGCTGGTGGAGTCATTTATTTCTGCTTTGCGTTATCGCCTTCTTACTGCAGGCGCATCAACCAATGATATATTACACCAATATGTTTCGACTATTAAAGCCCTAAGGACAATAGATCCTGCAGGTGTTTTCCTTGAGGCAGTTGGTGAACCAATAAGGGATTATTTAAGAGGAAGAAGAGATACAATAAAATGCATAGTGACCATGCTGACAGATGGGTCGGGTGGTTCATCAAGTGCATCTGGAAATCCTGGAGATAGTCTTCTTGAAGAGTTGAATAGAGATGAAGAAATTCAAGAGAATTTTGGTATTGACGATGACTTCAACACTGATGATCGGCAAGCATGGATCAATGCCACACGGTATGTTAATATTATGGATTTCGACTAACAGTTTTCACCTCTCTTTCTGATGTGGTCTGCCTGCCAGGTCATGAAATTGACGTTTCTTCTAAATGGGCTTTTCCAAGCAGATGGCAACCTGATCCTGTGGAAGCAGATCCGTTGAAGGGAAGCAGAAACCAAAGGAAGGTTGACATACTTGGGATGATCGTTGGCATAATTGGTTCAAAAGATCAATTAGTTCATGAATATCGAACTATGCTTGCTGAGAAACTTCTAAATAAATCTGATTATGATATTGACTCAGAGATACGCACTCTAGAACTCCTTAAGGTGCTTATTCATATAAAACTCATGTTGCCTTTTTGTTTGACTAAATATGTTGTTAATATTTATCATTTTTGTGTGTGTAATTCTTTGTTTCTGCAGATACACTTCGGAGAGAGCAGCCTACAAAAATGTGAGATTATGCTGAACGATCTTATTGGCTCAAAGAGAGTCAATACTAACATTAAAGCTACCATAAGTCAGCCATCTCAATCAAGTAATTTCCAAGTTCAAATATCCATTATTTGTGATCATTGCCGAAGATATTTTTAAACCATTATTTGCTTCAATTTCTTTTCACCAAAATTTGGGTTATGCGTTCTTAGGTGTTGAGGTTGAAGACAATGCAATATCCATGGATAAAATAGCTTCGACAATCATATCTTCTAATTTCTGGCCTCCAATACAGGTATGCAGATAAAATTATTTTATTGATCATTTTTTGAATTTCAGATAATATGAAAAAGCAATTTATTTATGTTATGACTTAGATTATTTCTTCTGATTCTGACTGCTCAGCCTGTATGTTATACTTAGGTTCATTAATAACATTTCTTAGACGAAAATACCAACAAATAATTTTCAATTAGATTTTGTTTACTATTTATATGTGCACATCACTGCCTAGCTGTACTCAACGACTCCTTTTTACTGATTTTTGTTTAATATGAATCACTTCTACACCTGAGAGGCAGGGATTGTAATTAATCCCCTTACAGTACATTTCAAATTTCAGGGTTCTCATGTTACTCAATCGTCAATACTGTAGTTTGTAAATACAAAATCATTTTAGGAAATTTGAGCAAACTTTTCTTTTTCATGCCCCACTATCTTTCCCACTGTCATCACTACTATAAATAATAGTAAGAGCATTTTTATGTAATTACAATTCATTATGTCAAATATTTTATTGCCTAATTTGTCTGACCTATTTTAGGATCTTAATATATACAATTAAGAAGACCTATTAATTCCAAATTCACACATCCCCTTAAATTGATGCACCTGTTCAAGGAGCATCAAGTTGCTAACAAGAAATTGATTGTGCGAGTGAGTAACAGTTAGGGGTGGAAATAGGTCAGGCCTGAGCTTGACCTATACTATTATAGACTTTTTTTCCGGCTTGGCCTGACATTTTTAAAAGTCTGGCCTGAAAGCCTATTTAAAAATCTATTTCACATTAGGGCTTTCAACTAGTCCATTTTACCTATTTTTTTACAAAGACAACAAGGCCTTTATATACATTTAGTCTATTTTCTTACATATATATAGGCCAGCCTATAAGGCTTCATAGGATTTTTAATAGTTTAAATCTGACCTATTTAATTAAATAGCTTTTAAAAAAGTCTAAGCCTAGCCTTTTTATTAAATAGGCCAGGTCAGGCCGAGTCTAAAGTAGGCCAGACTATACACCCCTGTAAGTCTGCCTGACATATTCCCATCCCTTGTAGCCTTGGTAAGAATATCCATTACCTGAAATTGAGTAGTGGTGTAAGGGATTGATATAACATGGTTATTATATGCTTCAGTGATACAATGACAATTTAATTCAATATGTTTGGAGCATTCAAGAAAAACTAGATTTGCAATAATTTGAGTAACACTTTTGTGTTGTCAACATAGAGAGACTTACACCCATAAGTTGGACAATAAATGATATTATTGAAGAGAATGGTAAAATGCTTCTATGTTTAATTCCTCAGCCCAAGGCTGCTTTTATTGTCAACATGTCTATTAAATGGTAGTTTGTTGACTTGAAGTCACAAAAGATAGACATATAATTCCAGCATCTAACTTCTCCTTTATCAAATGTCGATTGATCTCAATATATTTGGTTCTATCATGTTGAACTGAGTTATGAGCTATGCCAATAACAACTATACTGTCAATGTATAATTTCAATGGAAGTTCAGTTTTCATCTTAAGTTCTTCTAGGACTCTAAAGATCCATAATTCTTCACAAATACCTTGACACATAGTTCTAAACTCGACTTCTGCACTACTTCTTGCTACAACTCCTTGTTTTTTGTTCCTCCATGTCACAAGATTACCCCAAACACAGCTACAATATCCAGACATTGATCTTCTATCTATGATTGAACCTGCCCAATCAGCATCAGTGTAGATAGACACATTTCTTTCATTAGTCTTCTTAAAAAATAAGCCTTTTCCGAAATTTTCCTTCAAATATCTCAGTATCCTATAGACTGTCTCAAGATGTTCCTCAAAAGGAGAATGCATTAATTGACTTACTACACTAACTGAGAAAGCAATATCAGATGGGGTGAGTGACAAATAAATCAATTTTCCAACCAATCTCTGATATCTTCCAATATCAACAGGAACATTACCTTCTCCCCAAAGTTTAGCATTAGGATCCATAAGAGTATCTGCAGGACGACATCCACTCATTCCTGTATCTTTTAATAAGTCTAGAATGTATTTCTACTGTGAAACAACAATACCATTCTTTGATCGAGCAACCTCCATACCAAGAAAATATCTTATGAATCCTAAATCCTTGATTTCAACTGTATCGTCTCCAGTAAGGAAAATATCATCAACATAAACAATCAGGGCAACCAATTTCCCATCTTGGGAGAACTTTGTGAATAAGGTGTCGCCAGCTTGTCCTTGAATGTACTCTTGTTTTTTCATGAGTGATATTTTCAAACCAAGCTCTAGGGGACTGCTTTAGTCCATACAAAGAGTTATTTAGTTTGCATACATTTGATCCAAATTTGTTTTCAAAGCTAGGAGGAATGTCCATATATACTTCTTCTTCTAGATCGCCATTGAAAAAGACATTCTTAACTTCTAACTGATGTAGGGGCCAATCGAATTTAGCAGCAAGAGATAAAAGAATTCTGACAATGTTCAATTTTGCAACAGGAGCAAATGTCTCTGAGTAGTCTATACCATAAGTCTGAGTAAAGCCCTTGGCCACCAAGCGGGCTTTGTACCTTTCAATTGACCCATCTGAATTATACTTCACAGTAAACACCAATTTACATCCAACTGTCTTTTTGCCATCTGGTAGTGTCGTAACACAAGTTTTGTTTTTTTCAAGAACTTTCATCTCCTTGTGTATAGCTTCCCTCCCCTTTATAATTTCTATAGCAACTTGTATACTTTTTGGAATTTCTACACTAGACAATCTTGAAGCAAAGACAAACCTAGATGAAAACAAATTTGAATATGATATAAAATTGAACATGTGGTGTTTAGTGCAAGATCTATCCGGTTTTCTAATGGCAACAATATCATCTATACTAGGATACAAAGTATGACTCCCAGGAAACAAAGATAGACTTACCATTCTTTTTCTTAGGAGGTTGATCATTCCCCGGTTCAGATTCCTGACAATGTTGAGATGTGGACTCATCTCTTTTTTTGTGATGCTTTTTCACAAAAACCTTCTCTTTCCAAGTTCCGTTTCCTAATTCAAATATGTTTTCTTTAAGTGACTCATTGTTTTGTGGTATTTCAGTTAGATCATCATTATCATCATTTTCAGGATTCTCATTGTTTTCTACAAGAGAAAATGTAGGCTAGGATTCACAAAGTTCCTTACTCATAACAGGAGTAGGATCAGATATTTTCTATCGGTGCATAAATATAAGTCTCAGAACTTTGTGGTACAGGCAAAGATAAGTTATTTTCAAAGATGAGTGTCATAAGAAAAGGTTTATTTTCAAAGAATGTAATGTCCATAGTGACAAACATTTTCTTGGTTTTTGGATCAAAACATTTATATCCCTTTTGGGTTGGGGAATATCCAACAAAAACACATTTTATAGCACGTGGTTCAATTTTTCCAACACTTTTATGTTCATGAACAAAGACTGTGCAACTAAAGATTTTTAATGTCAAATCAGTTAAAACACGAGTACGAGTACTGGGAAAACATTCTTTGAAGGTATTAATTGGAGTTTGAAGGTTTTTATTTTTTGATTACTTGCACATGGCCCTAAGTATTGATTTCAATGATACAGAGCACATTTCAGACAATTGTCATTTTGGCAATATGTGCAAATTTCACATCACAATCAGTGCCATACTCCTTTTTTGGTAACATGTGCAAATTTCGCATCATAATCAGTCCCATACTCCTGCTATTTCCCTAAGGCAACTAGTCAACATTGTAACGGTTGAGGGAACCATCAAAATTTAGTTTCACGTAATACACTCATTTGCATGGTATGATATAAGGAGGGCAAGAGACAATATTTCATATGTTGTTTTTTGTAAGAGCTTGGAGTTCATCTTGCATTGTTGGAGTATAGACAATATTCACTGGCTGTTAAGGATGTTTGTATTCACAAATCACTCTAGCATCACCGTAGTACCACTGGCACAAGTTTTGGTGCGAACCAGTGTTGGAAAGAGGGGTAGGAGAATAGGCGGCGAATTAGTGTCAGGAAGAGGAGTAAGGAGCATATTCAAACAGTTCACAATTTGCTTCAGTACATGGATCACAACTCTCAAAATTCGGTACTTGGGGTAAACCTTCATATTTTTTTCCATAAAAATAAAAACCCTTCATCTTTAGAGCTTGTCCTCACATCAAAATTTAGCTAAAATAGAGATTAGTCAAACATAGATGTATACTAGTTGCAGCTAGTCCCGCAGCAAATATTTAGAAAACATTGAGAGGCAAAATAAGCTATACATATAGAAGCATACTACTTGGTTTAATGAGTAACAAAAAGTATAACATGGCATTTTATTGGTGGGGTGATTCGCATTTCACTTCTTCCAAAGCGGTAACCATGAATCATTTTGCAAAAGTACCCTGAACCTGAACTCCCGTTGGAACCATTTTAGAAATGGCATTTTTATTTCCCAATAAACCATTTTCAAATAAATGAAACAAGCCACCAGAATTTGAATGGCCCAATTTTGTATGCCATCCTCGTACAAATAAAAAACACAATTGCAAACAACACGCAAATGATTAGAATAAACTCAAGTGGAAATAGTATTTCCACTTTAGGCCCCTTAGCAATTACTCTCCACCACATTTGATCCTGCACACGACATCCATCCATCCCGAGAAAAGTTAACACTTTAATTGTTAGTCCACTAATTTACCAACACGCAGTAAATTGAAAAGCTAGTTTAGTTGATACAAAAACATTCCGAAAATCAGAGTTTATGGCATCAACATTAGTGATAGGAAGGGTAATCAATTTGAATTTTCAAAGTACCATAGTAAAAATGTATATTGTGCAAATATTTTTTAAAGAATTCGTCATATGATATGCGCCGGAAATAAGAAATTATGGATGAGAAATATTAGATGATTTACCCTGAATGGCATGCCCAAGATTGAAAGTGCTGAAAGTACCATTTGTTGAATCATATCAGATTGTAGAGCACCACCTTCAGATGCATAATTGGTGGAAAGACAAGCTGCTAGCTGGTAGTGGCATTAAATGCCTGCACATGGTGGTGTTTTGGTTTTGGGGGATGTGTGAGACAATCATAGGTGATAGATCCTGCTGCTTGCAATTATTGCAAAACTTCATACTGCAGCTATGAGCAACGCGTCTAAATTGTTTGCAAGAAGAACATTGGACCTGTAGCATATCAAGACCTTTACCTCAACTCTGGTCAACATATCCAACCATCACATGTACAGGAAGGGAAGCATCATAAGACATGGTAACAGCTTGTTTGATCAAACCTGTGAAGCCTTGATTGCTATCATAATCATTTTCTCGCTGACCTGCAAGACCATGATTTTTGGTTCTCGCTGGTCGTTACTGTTTGGTTCTTGCTAACATGCACAATCATGATTTTTAGTTCTCGCTGTTGTTCAATCTTAGTTCTGGATTCTCACTGCTTGGTTGTTAGTTTGCGTTTAGCTCTCACCGCTTCTTGGTCGCAACTCTATATTGTTTTCGCTGCTGCTGCCTGACCGTGATTGTGTGAATCAGGAGTTAATGTATCCTTAATTGTATATATCAACATTCTTAGAATAGGCTGCACAAACCAGGCAAAAAAATATTTGGCATGATAATGCTCTTACCATTATTTATAGAAGGAATAACAGTGCAGAAGAGCATTAAACCATTTCTTTTTAATAGAAGGAATAACAGTGCAGAAGAGCATCAAACCATTTCTTTTTACAGCTACTTCCTATGTATATGCATACAGGATTCCAAACCTCCTTCAGAGAAGGAAATTAAAAATGCATTAAATAAGGTGAAAAATTTTGATTGCTTCATTTCAAGAAGCTTAAACAGTTTCAAATTTCTTGATATTCTGTTTCCATGTTATTCCATGTAAACTCAAGGAGAGGTTCTTCAAACTAACAAGAGTTTTATAAAATATCAGTTATCTTCTCTTGAAGTTTAGCTCTGTGAACTGGTCCAAAGCAGGGAAATTGTGGGAGAATTTTCTGTATATATTAATATTAATATTAATTCAACAACTACTCTGAAACAAAGTTACAATTCACAATTACAACTTATAGAAAGCCGACACAAATTACACACAAACAAAAAGACAAGGACCAGTTTGGTTCCTCCCAAGAATTCGAGAGTCTTGAATCTTTCCCTTCCCAAATGTTCTAGAATGTTGTCTCTCCCAATAACCACTCAATAATCCCTTTCTCGCCGACCCCTTTCCTATTTATCCCGAACGTAAACACCCTATTTAAACATAACTTACACAATTAATTAGCATAACTACTCTAAATATAATAGTTATTAGTTACCACTTGTAACACAAACCATAACTGACCAAAGTGAGTTTTTAATGTTGATGTTTAGCAAAAAAATATTTTTATCAATTGCATTATCATCCGGCAAAGCTGTCTACTCTGTTCAATAAAATGAGTTACAAAAATATGTTTTTATCATTTGCATTGTTATCCGGCAAAGCTGTCTACTCTGTTCTACGATTGACTTTGAAGCGAATTACAGGATGAGCCCATTAACCTGCCTGAACCCGTTGACCAGCTTCTCTCTGATTATGCAAAGAGATTTAGTGAAATCAAAACACCACGTAAGCTTCAGTGGAAAAAAAGTCTTGGTACTGTCAAGGTTAGTTGGTCAATTTTCTTAATTGTTCAGATCCCATTGTCTGGACTTCGGAGATATTTAGGATACTTTTTTCCTTACCCACCTTGTACAGTTTTAGCTCTAAATTTTCTCCTAATATTTATCATGTCCAATGGTATAGCTGGAGTTGCAATTTGAAGATAGGGAAGTGCAATTCACAGTAGCCCCTGTTCTTGCATCTATCATTATGAAATTTCAAGATCAAACAAGGTATACTCATAATCTTTCAATAGCTTTGATCTTTTGTTTTGACTGTAGTGTAATATTACGTTTCTGCTTTCAGTTGGACCTCTAAAAATCTCGCGGCTGCTATTGGGATACCCATGGATGTACTAAATAAGAGAATATATTTTTGGATAAGCAAGGTAGGTATGATACATTTTGGTATTACTCTCTCCGTCTTATAATAAGTGTCTCATTTGCACTTTTTCTATGTCTCAAAATAAGTGTCTCTTTAGAATACCAATACAACATTTATTATTTTTTTCCACTACTATACCCTTATTTATTAATTTTCATGCTTTTCAACTACTCTACTAACTATAATAAATAAGGGTGTTTTAGTAAATAATATTAATTTTATTAATAAAATCAACACGTCTAATCATTTTTTTAAAAACCGCGCAGAGCTCAAATGAGACACTTGTAATGAAACAGAGGGAGTAGTAAATTATTGTCATATGGTTAATTTTAGTTTGTGAGACAAATATTATCATCTCTTGTTCAATCGGGAGACTTCTGTTGGCTTGTCCAAATAAAAAAAATTCTAGTTACTTTACATTTTTATTGATGGTAATGTTAATTTATGTATAATCAATTAATCATTCTTATCTTTCAATGGCATGCCTTGCAGTTCAATGTTTAAAACCGCAAGTGTAAAATTTAGTAGTGAAGATGTGTAACTTCAGTCGCTGTCTTTTTGTACACAGGGGATAATCACAGAGTCGCCAGGGGGAGATTCCCTTGACCATGTATACACCATTATGGAAAATATGGGTGAAACAAGTAAGAACGGAGGAGGCAATGGCATTCCTCAGGAACTTCTTGGCGGCGATGAGGAGGAAGACGGATCTGTGGCTTCGGTAGAAAATCAACTTCTGAAAGAGATGACTGTGTATGAGGTAAATGAAAGAGTGTTTTTTTATGAAGATATCTAGCTAGAGGGAATATGCAAGCATATGAATAAATATATCTTAACATGTATTGTTTTATGGCAGAAATTTATCTTGGGGATGCTCACAAACTTTGGTAACATGGCATTAGATCGCATTCACAATACTCTCAAGGTAAGAATGGTTTTTCATCCCTAGATCATTGAACCATAAAAAGGTGTTTTACACATTTATAAATGTTTTGGACATACATAACATGATCAACAATGTGATTCTTTCTATTACTGCAGATGTTTTGCATTGCTGATCCACCGTATGACAAATCACTCCAACAACTACAAAGCTTTTTATCTGGTCTAGTCTCTGAGGAGAAGTTAGAACTTCGGGATGGAGTGTACTTTCTAAAGAAGTAGTGATCCTCTTCTGGCCATAAGTTTTAAGCTAAAAAAGGTGAATTTTCAAAATGGTTTTCAGAACCTGAATTTCTTGAAATCGTTATTTTTGTTTGTTTGCCTAGTCCATAACTCATCACACAAATTTCTATCGAGTCAATAAGCATCTCAGTCCTTGAAAAATATAAGCACCAATAAATATATTCTTCAAATTTATAAAATAGCAGTCCAGTCTTCTTAGGTTAAAAAACACCAATTAATTTAGTACCTCTTTTCTATCATTTTTAATCTTTTTCTACTATAGATGCTATCCCGACACTCTTTAATATTCTCATTTCTAATCATATCCTATCTAGTATTATCTAGGGGTGATTAAAACCGACCCGGCCTAATAGAAAACTGCTTACTGAACCAAACTGAAAACCGTAGAAAACTGCATTTAGTTGGAGGTATTTGGGTCAGTTTTTAACAAAACCGTGTGATTTGGTTTGGTTTGGTTTGCGTTTGTATTTTGCAAATTGAATCAAACAAAACCAAACTGCATTTTATTACAAATCCAAACTCCACTTAACCCACATCCAACTCAAACTCAAATTTGTTATGTGTTAGTCTTATAATTACCAACGATTTTCTCTTCCTCACACTTAGGGTTTCAATTTCACCTTTCTCAAATCTCTCTTAGCAGCCTCGCGCCTGCTTCTCATCTTCTTTGTCGTACATCTCGCCTCTTCTTTTCTAATCTCTCCTCTCTTGTGTTCTTTCTTTATCATCTTCTCATTTTTATGCTAATGTTCTCTCTTTCAATTACGTTTTTATTGCACCTCTTCTTCTCTAATCTCTTCTCTCTTCTTCTCTAATCTCTTATCTCTTCTGGTCTTTCTTTTCCATCTTCTCTAATCCCCCATCTTTGTTTTTTCTGTTTCATTATAATGTTTTTGATATTGTTTTATTCTACTGTTTTATGTTTTTTATTCCACTTTTGTCTAATCTATTTTTGTATATTAAATAGGAAGTTGTTGTCCAAATATGATGAGTTTTGCTCTTATTTGGTAATGTATGAATGACTAAACACAAAGTTATGCTGTCCTTTATATGCGTATGTATGACTCAATAAAAACATTGTAAAAAACTGAACCAACTCAAACCATATTGTTTTGGTTTGGTTTTGATTCGGTTTTATTTCTAAGAGTCAACCGAACCAAACCGAATCAAACCGAACCATACGCTTTTTTCTCTTGTAGTTCAAATGACTTTTAGCTTCAAAATGCCCAAACCGTAACACGAATGCACACTCTTACCACACTTCCAATGCAACTTCTTCTACTACACTTACTTTATTCTCGTGTTGATTCTTAACTGCCTTTCATTATGTCCCATACAACATTGGAGGTCTTACCGCAATCCGATAAAATTTGTCCTTCAGCTTGAGCGGTACCTTTGTGTCATATAAAATCTCTGGAGATCTCTCCATTTTAGCCACCCATCTGGTTTACACCCCTTCTATTTCTCTATCGTTTTGTATTAGGAACCTAAAATATTTAAACTGCGTAGCTTGTGGGATGATATCGTCTCCAATTTCACCTCTAGGTTAGAAACACTCCTCCTGTTGAATTTACATTCCATATACCCCCGTCTTGCGTCCGCATATGTGAAAGCCATGCATTTCTAAAGCTTGTCTCCGAGTCTCCAACATCTCATTTAAATCCTCATTCGACTCTTCAAGTGGGACTATATCATCTACAAAAAAACTTCATCTCGGTACTAGCTCTTGGATGTGTTCCGTGACTACATCTAAAATTAAAATAAAAAGATAAGGACTTGGAGTTAAACCTTGATGCAAACCTATCCGCATACTAGTTGATATCTCTTTATATATATAGCTCGAATATATGCAATCTTAACCAATTCTACAAAATCTCTCTAGACATTCTATTATAAGTCTTTTTTGTTAATTCATCCTATCTATGGCCGAGATATTGGCACATCAAGCAAAAACCAGTCACACCATGTCGGGACGGCACATATGGATGATGCGGTCGGAGCGGCCTAGAAAACAGGTCGGGAATGACAAGGAACGGCGGTGGATCGGGCTGAAACGACCATTTTTTCATTTTTTCCTTTTTTCACTATTCGCCACCGGTCACTTTCAAAGGAGCGGTCGGAATGGGAGAAAAGTTTTGAGTTGGAGTTAACAATGAAGCAGACAGAAATGGAATAAGTGATCTGAATGAAAGAAGAAGTTTTGGATTGGAGTTAACAAAGGTGCAGACAAAAATGAAAGAAGATGAAGAGGGGGTGAAGAAAATATTTAATAAATAAATTAATGAGAGAATAAAGGTTGAGAAGTCAATTTATTTAATAGGTGGACAAAGTGCATTGGAATGTAAATACAGTAAGACTAATAATGGGGTGTTAAAAAATTTATTTAATAGTAAGTGCAATGGAGTGTTAAATAAATGGTTGAAAGTTAAATAAATAGTTCAAAGTGAGGTGGATTAATATGTATTGAAAATATTTAATATGTTGAATAAAGAGGGAGTGAGACCATATATATATATATATATATATATATATATATATATATATATATATATATATATATTATATATATATATATATATATATATATATATATATATATATATATATAATTATATATATATATATATTTA